TTGAATTCCTAGAAAGAATTCAGAGGAGAATAACATGACTAATCCCGGGCATTAGGAACTTGAGTACAGAGACAGGTTAAAGCATCTTAATTTGCACTCCCTCGAGAGACGTAGAGTGAGGGGCTATATGATAGAGGAGTATAAATGGAAGTCAGGGCTAAACAAAGGGGACATTACAAAGGTACTCAAACTATCCAACCAGGGGCGAACTCGTAACAATTGTTTTAAATAAGACAAATTCAGATTTAGGCGGGAATTAGGTAAACATTGGTTTGGAAATAGAGTAGTGGATGAATGGAACAAGTTACCAAACATCATCATTAACTCGAATACGCTGGATAGCTTTAAACATAGGTTGGATGGATATATGAGCAATAGGGGTTGGGTGTAAATCGGACTGCCCAGTGTGGGCCAATATGCCCTCTGCAGTTTCCTCCATTCTTATGTTCTTATGTTCTTATGATAGACTGTGGGGTGATTACTAAGTATACAAGAGCAGAGAGGTGCCGTGATGTTACTGTTGGCGGTGGCAGTAAGATGTGAATGTTCCTGTAAAATGTCTTAACAAATGTTGAGAAACATGCAATGTAATTTTTGTTTTGACGAAGTGGTTGTTCTAGCTAGCACACTTTTATGGGGAGTAGATTCGTAGAAAAAAGTGAAAAGTACATACGTGTGTGTGTGTGTGTGTGTGTGTGTTCAAGCTGTTTCCCGCGGCATGGCTTCTGTCAATCGTAGTGTTATTTAATAGTGCGTTTGTGTGTGTTTTTAAACGAGGTTTATGCACATTAGTAACAAATTATCGCGGCATGAGGGTGATTAATTCTATTACTAAGCTTTATGACATGATATTGTACGATAGGCTTTGTAAGTGGTTCTCTCCTTACCGAGAACTAGCTGGCAGTCAGGCAGGTAGGGGATGCCGAGAACACATTGTTACGTTGCTCTTGCTTACAGGCCTTGCTAGGAGGAAGACATTTAAATTGATCGTCACATTTGTCGATTTTACGCAGGCGTATGATAGGGTCCCGAGAAATATATAATTTTTAACGTTAAAACGGTTAGGTTGTGGCGTGCCTATGTTACTTGCTATTAGAGCCATGTACAGGGTAACTAACTGCATTGTTGGCACTGCATTTGTCACCACCACTGTAGGTGTGCTCCAAGTGTCCCCTACGTCCTGCCTCCTATTTGTGATCTTTGTTAACGATCTAATCAGAATGATAAAACAGAACTGCGGTGTAGACGGCTTCCTCACCTAGTTACATGTTCTTGTCCTTATGGATGACACTGTGCTGCTGTCAACGACCAGATATGGCATGGTAAAAAAATAAAATTACTTACCCAATATTGTATTTCACATGGTATGAAAATTAACATACCCTGTAGGTAAGACAAAGTTCCCGCTATAAATGGCAGTGAGGCTGATAAACAAGCATTGGTTGTTGATGGTATAACCGTGGAACCGTGTGACCAGTACATGTATTTGGGAAGCCCATTTACTTCTGACTGGTCAATATCAACAGCAATTAAAGTTCATGTGCAAGCCAAAATGTGTCATACACTTAAGTTTGTTGCATTTGTAAACAAGAACAAGAAAAAGGTATTTCATGCAGCATTGATATCCGCCTTGTTATATGGTTGTGAATCATGGTTAAATGGTGACATTACGCCTGTGAATAAACTTTATATGTGCTGTATTAAACAGTTATTAAGTGTCAGGAAAACGACCAGCAATGATTTATGCATGGTTATACTCCGTTACGTGCCCTCATAATAGCTAAGCAGTATAAATTTTTCTCGAGGATATGGACGAGAAGAAGTGAAATGATAGACGATCCACTTGCCCATAGTACTAATGTTGTATTAAGTTTTAATACGCCCACTTCACGATATGTACGCGAACTTTTATTTAATGATATTGATGATGTTCAAATAGCCTTAAACTCTCTGAAACAAAAAATGTCAAACTCAGACTCAAGTAAAGTACAATTATACAAGACTATCAATCCAAATTTTGATGTTCATGCAATCTATTATACAAAGATAAAGGTGAATGAGCTAGAACGAGTATCGTGGACACGAATGAGAATGAGTGCCTATTCCCTCGCTGTAGAGGAGGGGAGTTGGAACAGACGAGGCAGGGGCCGTCTGCCCATTGAAGAGAGATTGTGTTCATGTGGTGTTATTCAGTCTGAATGGCATGTTGTTGAAGAGTGCCCCCGAACAATAGATATACGCCATCAATATAGTACAGTATTTCAACTTTTGCAAATTTGCTATCTGAAAGAACGGATTAGGAAACTGTTTGTTGTGCAGTTTCATCGAATTCATGTATATAGTTAGAAGTCACAGGGACATACCATTACCCAGAACTATTTTGTATGCTTCAGTTTATTTTACTTATAGTTATTTTTTTACTTTATTTACTCGTGGTTTTCCTCTATTTTTTGTATTACTGGTTGAATCAGCGAATTTTTATTAATGTTTGGTGTTTTAAAGCATTTGCATTTGGACCATTTTATGTAAAATTTTAGTGTCAACTCTGTATTCATGTTTTGTGGTCAATGAAATATCTATCAATCTATCTATCTATATAACTGTGTGTGTGTGTGTGTGTGTGTGTGTGTGTATTCTTATTGTGCCGGTCTGGTCGACATGTTATCTCCATCACAGTATTTCACATTCCTCACCCTTGTTATTCTTTCTGTATACATCAACTTAATCCTGACTTCTGACAACTCTTCCCCTTTTCTCCAGTATCCTCTCCTCACCACCACCTCGTGTCCCCATCCTCTGTGGCACCATCACTTACCACTCACCCCTTCAGGCACCATCTTCCTGGTCCTCTCTGTTAAAACTTTCTACTAACTTCTCTCTCTCTCTGTTCTTCCCTCTCCTCTCGATACGTTCCACAGTCTTCCTCTCAATCTCCTTTCCCTAGTTTCCTCCTAATACCATCCCCAGTCTTCCTCTCAGATTCCTACCTCAGTTCTACTAACAACACACTTCACCTCTTGCTGTCAGTCATCATGTTCACTTAGCCTGACTGACTACACTTCCTCCCATATTGTCAACCTCCTTCCCTAGACTCTGTCAACCCTCTGCTAACTTTTTATTGAAACTCCCTACCCTTCGTCCCCCTCTACTACTGATCCTGTCAACACACTGTAGTATTCTGCCTTTGAGTGTTTTTCCTCTTCCCTTTCTTCCAGCAACTGTTCTCCATCCTTCTCTTCAAATCCCCTCTCAACCCTTTAACTGCCAACAGCTCTTCTTAAACTTAAAAACACCCTTCCATTATCACACTTGCCGCTCATGTCAACACCCACTTTCGCAACACCTTTACTCTGCTTCACCCATTAACCAATCTTTCACACCTATACTAAACTATTTTGATATGAAGAATGATACATTTAAAAGATAATAAGAATGATCAGTGAAGAGCAACGGACGAGGAGAAAGGATGAATTTGTTACATTGAGAGATAAATAGGTATCAATCTATCAAGGTGCGTAACACAAGAAAAGCTTTTACGGCTAATATCATCTGCTCAGATGACATGATCTTTCCCTCACCCTCCATAATTATGTCGTCTAATCTGGGGTTCCAAATTGGCACGATAGTGTGTGTGTGTGTGCGTGTGTAATAATAATAATAATAATAATAATAATAATAATAATAATAATAATTAACGGTTTATTGAAAAAATTCTGCAGCCCGAAGGCTGAAAATATACATTGGACATAAATGACTTATTACATACATTGGTGGTTTAACAAAAGCCTTCATTAGAGAAAGGTAAAGGAACATACAGTGAACATACAGATTAATGTTGACAGTGGAGGTCACGTAGATCATGTACGCTGAAGTGTTGAACAGCAGACACGTAGTGTAGCGAGTCCCTCACAGATGGTGTTATGAGGGGCCTGACGTGGTGTAGTAATTCCCTCACAAATGGTGTTATGAGGGGCTTGACGTGGTGTAGTAATTCTCTCACAGATGGTGTTATGACGGGCATCACGCGGTGTAGTAATTCCCTTACAGATGGTGTTATGAGGGGCTTGACGTGGTGTAGTAATTCCCTCACAGGTGGTATTATAAGGGGCATCACTTGGTGTTGTAATTCCCTCACAGATGGTGTTATGAGGGACCTTACGTGGTGTAGTAATTCCTTCACAGATGGTGTTATGAGGGCATCACGTGGTGTGGTAATTCCCTCACATATGGTGTTATGAGGGACCTGACGTGGTGTTATGAGGGGCCTCACGTGGTGTAGTAAGTCCTTCGCAGATGGTGTTATGATGAACCGCACATGATGCTGTAGCAACTCATTTACTACGTGGAATCGTATCATCATGGGAACACCACTTGGTCTTGTGTCACAGGACCTCGCTCAACCAAGTGAGTGAGGTGTGGTCCCAGGCACCCCTATCGTGGACGGATTAAGACATAGCTGGTGTTGTTGAGTCTCATGGGCAGTTATCACTGGGTACCTGAGACCTCACTGTGTGAAGATTAGCTTGGGTACAATTCAGCTGTTACTGTCGAGTTGTTTTTCACTGACTTAAGCACTGTTTACCACTATTCAACACCGGTTCCATTCCTTTCCTAAATGAAATATTAACTTCTGACTAGAACTTGTTGATATTCCGGTGGGGAGGAGGGGTTCAGGAGAGGGATTTGGTATGGGCCAACATAACAGTTGACCTGGCTGCTCCCAGAGGAGCGCCAGGTACGTCTTGACCCTTCGGTGGTCAAGGATGTAATGTGTGTGTGTGTGTGTGTACACATACCTCGTGAATGGATAATATGTAAACAAAAAAGAACATTAGGTTATAAAATATTTTGGAAAAATCTTGTTATTTTTACATAAATCTATCGTACGCTTACTCCACCATATTATGCGTTTCTATGTCATAAAAAAACTATATTAATAGGAAATTGTCATACACACTTTCAGGAAAAAATAAAGTAAAAACCTTTTTCTTTTTCTTCAGGTTGAAGCTGGTGTTTGCGTGCATGATGGAGCTCTCCAAATTCCCACTCGACTCTCAAGTCTGCACGATGGAGATTGCCAGCTGTGAGTACTTGTGTGTGTGTGTGTGTGTTATTTTATTTTTTAATTTTGCCGCTTACAGCGGCTAGTTTATTGTGCACCCCATACTCATCTTGTGAGCGGTATCCAAAAGGATTACAGAGTAGAGTTCATAAGGGGTCAGGATATTATGGTATTGAATGTATAGAGTATTTCAAATAAATACTTTGTTTAATTCTGTACTTATTTGCAACCGCGTGAGGCAATATGTTTGGCCGTATACTTTATAATTCACATTTGCGTGAAGGGCATTCAAGCATATTGTGTTTTGATTATATATATATATATATATATATATATATATATATATATATATATATATATATATATATATATATATATATATATATATATATATATATATATATATATATATATATATATATATATACATATATATATATATATATATATATGGGAACTAATAGAACTACCGAGTGCAAAAAATTGGATAAAATCTTAATATAAGAACATAAGAACGGAAGAAACTGCAGCGGGCCTATTGGCCCATACTGGGCAGTCCCATTTACACCCAACCCCTATTGCTCATATATCCATCCAACATATGTTTGAAGCTATCCAGTGTATTCGAGTTAATGATGATGTTTGGTAACTTATTCCATTTATCCACTACTCTATTTCCAAACCAATGTTTGCCTATTTCGTGCCTAATTCTAAATTTGTCTAATTTAAAACCATTGTTACGAGTTCGCTCCTAGTTGGATCGTTTGGGTACCTTGTAATGTCCCCTTTGTTTAGCCCTGACTTCCATTTATACACCTCTATCATATCGCCCCTCACTCTACGTCTCTTGAGGGAGTTGCAAATTAAGATGCTTTAACCTGTCTCTGTACTGAAGGTTCCTAATGCCCGGGATTAGTCTTGTCATTCTCCTCTCAATTACTTAGAGGGATTCTATATCCATTCTGTAATACGGTGACCAGAATTGAACTGCGTAATCCAAGTGAGGTCTTACAAGAGGAAGATGTAGTTTTAGGATGACCTCTCTAATTTTGTAACTAACACTCCTTTGTATGAACCCAATTAGTTTTTTAGCCTTGTTTCGAGCACATACACATTGTTTACTTGGCGGGAGCGTCTGGTTGAGATACAAGGGTCCTTAAATATTGGCCAAATGCTTTGATATTCCTGTCACTAATTACGGACAACATGTTGGTTAATTCTAGCCCCCAAACTCCCTCCTTTGCCCCCTTCATTTTTGGCCCTTTTCACCCTTTCTAAATTTTCAAGGTGCTTCTCCTTCATTATTATTTGCTTCACTGCCTTGAAATTTATAGGGTTTAGAGAATCCATGGTGCCCTTCAGTATGATAGGATGATAAGTTTATTTTTCGCTTTGTCTTAGGTCTACAATTTTTTGGAAAATCACATGCCATTTTCTTCAAAATATTGAGATAAGATATTCGGGAAAAAAATCCTGTTCAAATTACAAAAAAAGCATCATATTACGATGTTAAGAAAAGATTCATCTTGTGATCAGTATTTGTTTCACTGAAATCCGTCAAGAAATATGAGATATAACAGTTTTGAGTGTGAGAAAATTAATTTTGAGATACAGGCTGATAAAGTATTTTTTGGTGGTAACTGTCATGTAATTTGCTAATGTGAGTTTATGTGACATGTAATTTCGTGTTATTTTGCATATTTTTATATTTCCAACGGAACTTGGTTATATTTTTATTATATATTATATTGTATTACAGTATTATATTAGGGTCCTGGTCACCCCATGCCTCAGCGTGAGGCACAGAATTATCCCTGTTGGGAGGGTATGGGAGGTGCCCAGTGGGCACTGCCCACACTCCTCATTGTTGCCAGGAAAAAAAGTGGTGCATAGTGATGTCTCTGCTATATTGTTAGGCTGGATCAAAAAGCTCCTAGTGCATAGTTTTCTGAACTCTTTGTAGTCTTTGTTTTCATTTTTCTAGGCTGTGTCTTGGGTGTGCTATGCCTCCGTTGATCGATATATTGCTTCAACAGTGATTCATCAAGGGTAGATAATTTTACATTTAAGAATTTCAGGAGTGATGCTTGTTGATATCCAAAATTGTAGTCTAAGATGGCGGTCTCGACGACAAACTGAAGACGAGCAAGGCCAGCAAATTTAGGCTTGTGTGCACCTGCCCACATCTTAGAGTGAATATTATCATTTGCATTCTGCATCAGTCCTCGAATGCATCTCTCCAAGATTTCTCTTGTTGACAGTGCCTCGTATACGTCTTTGATCTTCTTCTGTCCTGATTCATCAACACTGATGACAAGAGACCCCTTCTTGTGTTATACGTCTTTTTTCTCTTTACCCTCAGCTAATGCTTTCTGAAAAAAAAAACACCAGGAGTCAAGTCTCTTAGGACAAATCCCCTGACGAGGGTGGGTGTCAGTGCTAAAGAGGTGGTGAAAGGTGCTCATGACCGCCAAGTGCTTGTCAAGAAATGTCTTCCCTATATTATCTCGTATTGCTTTGCCAAAATAAGACGTTAGAGCGTCAATTGCCTTATCAGTCAACTTGTTTTTCCCGCCCAGCAAACTTTTCACAATATTCCCACTCTTCGTTGTCGTCTCTACCTTCTCTTCATCTCTGAGCTTCCTAATCTTGTTCCCATCTTTTCTTTAACTTGATTGATGCATTCCAGCTTCTTCACTTGTGTGTCCTGCTAGGGGCCATTGCCATTGTTCAAGGCACACACTGAATTGTACGAGCTGGAGTCGCCATCTCCTACAAAATGTTCATATCTAAGCTTCAGGTCTTGTGATCTGCCAAACAATCTTCTTGTCCCTTCTGCTTCCATTCCCGCAGATGTGCCTTCGTAATTCTTGGTGCATTTGCCTTGGTGGTTTGTCTTCCATGTTCTAAAGTCAGGTTCTGTAATCTTCTTTTTCTAGAGTTGTCCTTCCTTGACGGTGCACATGAAACAATATTTACTTATAAATTCATAGTCAATGATGAAGCCAGTACATACTTCTATGACGACACCCATGCCTACTTTCGACGTAAGTCCCGTTTTCATCTAAGATCCGTGATACGATATATCTATGTTCAGGACCCCATCTTCATCAGAACATTTGAGGAATGTTTTTCATAGAACTCTCTGACTGTCTGAACAATTTTGCTTTGCTTGCTTTCATAGTGAGTCTTCATAGCAAACAAATTTGCGAAGGGCAAAGAAAGCTCATCCTTACATTCCTTGAATACTCTGGCAAATATCTCATCGGGACCTGGCGACTTATTAGGCTTTAACTTGTCTATTTGCTTACTAACATCATTACTAGTCACCACTATCTAGCTTAATCTATTTTCTTCACTGTCTCTGTATATAGTCGGTGCCTCGGGTATCATGTTTAAATTTTTGGTGATGAAAACTGTTGAAAAAACATATATTCAGATTATTGCTCATTTCTCCGTCGTCATCAGTTAGTTCGCCGGTATTTGACTGTATTGGTCCAATCTTTTCTCGTGTTTTAGTTTGATACATTTGAAAGAATCCCTTGGGGTTTGACTTCGCCTCCCTTGCTACCTTCAGTTCATTATTCCTCTTTGTTTTTCTTTTCTCGACTTTAACCCGACTGACCAATACCATATAACAATCTCAGAGGTAAACTTCACCACTATTTATTCTTCTACCTATAGCCTTCCTTTGTCCAATAATATTATTTAAATAATTATTTATCCATTTATGGTCATTGTTGTCTGATCTGAGTTTTTGTGTGTTATGTGCTGCCATTGTGCATTAAGTAACCCATTCTTTAAATTGTTGTGGAACTCATCAACCTCAGATATCGTTATCAGGTCTCTAAGTAAAGTGAGGTCGCCCTCTGTGGGTACATTGTGTGAGGTTACCTCACGTGAGGTCATGTAATCCATCCCAAACCGTGATACCCTTTCTCTCAGCTGCCTTTTTAACCTATCAAAGTTTGCCCTTCTGAAATCTGGGACTTTAATGAAATTTTCCTTAAGACTGCCATTAATTCTAATTGGAATTTTATTTTTTTGTGATCGTTGTAAGCAAGTTCGTTCCCTACGTCAACATTACTAATGAGGTTTTCTCTGTTTGACAGAACTAAATCGAGTATGTTATTACCCCGGGTGGGTTCGGTTATATGTTGACTTAGGAAACAGTCCTGAACTGTTTCAAGAAAATCCTCTGATTCGGAGTTACCGTGAAGGTCGATCCAATTTATTTGGCTAAAGTTAAAGTCGCTTACTATACAGACTTTGCTATGCCTGGATGCCCTCCGCATTTCATCCCAAATAAGTCTCTATTAATTCTATCAAGATTTCGAGGTCTATATATTACTCCTGCAATAAATTTTTCCCTACCATCGATAAACTCTCTCCAAATTGTTTCTGTTTTTATTTCCTTATTTATTTCACATTTCGGATTATCCCTGACATAGATTGCTACTCGGCTTCCTTTCCTAATCTGCCTATTGGTATGGAATAATTTGTAACCTGCAATTTGGTATTCGACAGGTAACTCACGTGAGTCTAAGTTTATCCATGTCTCGGTGAATGCTATTATTTCGATTTTTCTGTACATACCAACGCCTTGATTTCATCCATTTTGTTTCTCATACTCCTACTGTTTGCGTAATAGACATTTAAGTTAGTCGTGTTCTGAATCCTCTCTTTCATACATTTAGATTTTAACTCCCTGCCTAATTTAGTCATCATTCCGAGCACTATTTCCCTGTAGCCTTTCACTTTGTTTACCTGCTCCCACTGCAGTCTTCTCCACCTCCGTGGCCATATGTGCCCCTAGCAGTTTAAAGACTTCGACATCTTTTGAACTGCCAGCTATCTTGCCATTAGATATAAAGTGTTGTACCATTTCACACACAGTGTGCTTGGACCTGTTCCTTAAAGGTTTTATCTTCATACAGTCAAGGACGTAGTGTTCAAGTGTGTGACCATATGTTTTACCACACATTTTACATTTAGTTTTGTTCACATCTGCTTGAGGGATA